GAATTCAGAGATCCTCCTGCCTCTGCCTCTGCCTCTGCCTCCTGAGTGCTGGGATTAAAGGAGTGTGCCACCTTGTCCCACTGAAACTTGTTTTTTCAATAACTACCCAGGTAGCATAAAACTTTCTCAGTTTATACTGTGTGTGGTGGTAAAACCTTTAATCCCAAGTGCTTGGGAGAGACAGAGTGATCCAGAGCTCAAGTTCGCCTTTAGCTATGTATAGAGTTCAAGGCCAACCTAGCTTAATGAGACCATGTTCTGAAAACAACTCACTTTCTTGCCTTCCAAAACAAAAAATTGGTCTGCTTTATCATCATATTACCAAGGATCAAGCAGCAACTCTGAAGATGGGCTGGCATAGTTCAAATCCAGGCTGGATAACGGATTAGCTGTAAAAACTTCAGACATAGCCTGGCACGGTGGCACATGCCTTTAATCCCAGCACTTGGAAGGCAGAGGCAGGTGGATCTCTGAGTTTGAGGCCAGCCTGGTCTACATAGTGAGTTCCAGGCCAGCTGGGGCTACAGGGACACCCAGTCTCAAAAAGACCAAACAAAAACAAACAAACAAAACAAAACAAAACAAAAAAACTTCAGACATTTCTTAAACTGAGGTTTTTTTTTTTTTTTCACCCTGTCTCAAAAAGACAGAAAAAAAAAAAATCAGAGCACTGACTTCTTGGTATTGTGTCTAATTGGGTAACTGTATGTTAATACTTAGGAATGTACCTGGCACACAAAAAGAACTCTCTACACAATGGTTAATTGAAAATCAGGTTTACAGTGAGGTGCTTAACTTCTCCTAAGCCCTTGCCCACACCTTTCCCATAGGCTAGACTCAACATGTGCTCTGCTACTATAAAGTCAATATGGTGGACGGGACAAGAATACGCTCTAGAGCCAGTATAGAAGCACTGGAATCCCAGATCTAGAACTTCCTAACTAGCAGGTCTTGGGCCCACTCCTATCATATCTCAGTGTTTCTAAGTCTTCATCTATAGCAGGGATGAAAATATTAATATTTAAGCCAGAAGGTTGTGATAGGCATTAACTGAGTTAAAAGCAAAAAGCATTTGTAATGGAATTTGGTATCTAGTATTCATTCCCTCAATGTTAGCTATTTTAATTTTTTTAAATCATATGCTATATCCTAATTGTAGCATGTGCTCTCACTTTCCAGCCTCTGATTTGTTGTTTACTGCTGGAGTATAACTGCACTTCTGAGAAGTCTTCCTTCCCTGAGAAGGCTCTCTGGACTCTATAGCATAGGTTTTGCTTTTTGGTTTTGTTTTTTGTAAGCCCAAAGTCCAATACATTTTTAGTATTGTGTCTAATCTCGTTTACAACACTAGAAAGATCACAGTACACAATTCTAAGTGAATCAATAATCACAGCAACAACTCATCCCAGAATGGAAAAATCAATAGTAGGTATATCAGTACTCTGGCCTGCCTTTTCATTATTAATGCTTTCATTTGTCACAGATTCCTTTCTTTTAAGTTCCATGCTAGTTTCACCAAAATAAAGTACCTGAACATACCTCTTATGGTTGAACCTGAGTGAGCATTTTCTAACTTTACAGTTTCACATAGTTTAGATTTTGGTTTCTTTGTTGAGTTGGTTGGTTGGCTGAGGGTTTTTTGGTCTTTTGAGACAAGGTCTCCCTGTAGCCCCAGCTGGCCTGGAACTCACTATACAGACCACGCTTACAGAAAGTCACCTGCCTCAGCCTCCTGAGTGCTGGGATTCAAGGTGTGTGCCACCATGCCTGGCTAGTTTCATGCAATTTAATTTCCTAATACAGAAATCTAACTGATGACAAAAAGGCTTTTAAGTTCATCTCAAAAACACCAAAAGTTTCAGATAGTTATTTCAAGAAAAAACAAGTAGCTCTTCCACTGTTAAGTAGTAAGTTAATGGCAAAAGTCAAAATAAAAAGATATAAAGGAAATGAATGATAGTATCCAAAGAACTATAAAGACCCGGGAAACTCAAACAAGATTAGGAAAAGGTGAGCAGTGGCTATAACCATCCAAAAAACAGCCAGCCTACTTACACATTCCAACAGTTTGCCACAGCAAGTGTGGAATTCTCCTACACCTATTAAGTCCCCAGGTATACAAGCCAGTTTCTTAGCACTACATTGTAGTAGGCTTCTTCACAGTGTCTCCAGTTCTTTAGAGGGGTGTTAAGCTACCCTCAGATGAGATTTTTAACTCGAAGTCAACTGTGTTCAGCTGATAACAAAGCATGGTTAAATACCAAGGAAAAAACAAGGAGCACAGCCTTGAATTTGGGACTGCCCAGCATTCTGCAGCGGGCAGAAACAATGAGGATGGTGCCCAGAAGCAACTCAGTGAAGAATATTCTTCTTAAACTACGTAGGACCAACATGGCTTGGTCTGGGACCTTTCAAGACTACATGGATTAAATGCCCTTGAGCTACAATGAAGAACATTCTAAGAAATGTAGATGTAGATCTGTGGTCCTCAATAATTTTGAATACAGTTCAGATACAGCATAAAAAAGGATAAGGAGGGGCTGGAGAGATGGCTCAGTGGTTAAGAGCACTGACTGCTCTTCCAGAAGACCTGGGTTCAATTCCTAGCACCCACATGGCAGCTACGAACCGTCCTTAACTCCAGTTCCAGGGGAATCCAAAGCCCTCTTCTAACCTACGCAGCATTGTACAACACGGGTACACTCACATACATGCAGGCAATACACTCATACCCATAAAATAAAAATAAACAAAATATTTAAAAAAAAAGGCAGGGAGAGAAACTGGTCAGAGACATTTCTCCCAAGTAACCAACCTATTTCTTTGCTTTAGCTCTTCAAAAATGCAGTTAGCTACTCACAGTAAGCACATAGCTGCTCTTCTGTTAACATTAGTCCTGGCTTCTTCTTACTTTCTCTTTATCCTGGCTTTTTCATCCACCAGCACTACATGTAGATATGATATTAACCATCAGAACTGAAAAGAAATCAGGTGTGGTGGGGCACATCCTTAATTCCGGCACTGGGGAGGCAGAGGCGGGCAGATCTCTGTGTACTCTAGGGCAGTCAGTATGAAAACAAAAACAAAAAGAGGAAAAGAGGCAACTTTAAATGAATAGATAACAAATACAGGCTTCCAAATGGCAAAATAAAATGTTTCATTTTTCCCTGACTCTCCTTGGCTAAAAAAAAAAAAAAACAAAAAACTGTACTTGACAGACTGTGACATTTTAATAAAAAAACTAAAAGTTGAGCCTGTTTCCACATCGCTTGTGTTACTTATTAGTTAAGTCTTACAGTCCATTCAAAAACATGCTCCTCAAACTTAGATTCCTCCATTACTTTATCTCCAAATAAAGTAAAATTATTTAATTCCTCAGCACCCCACCTATCCTAGAGAACTGAGTCATGCCAAGCCCAGTACTTTATGCAAAGATAAAGCAACTTTTAACTTTATGCAAAGTTAAAGCAAAGAATGGGGCTGGAGAGATGGGTTCAGCAGTTAAGAGCACTGGCTGCTCTTGCAGAGGACCTGGGTTCGATTCTCACCAACTCGTATCACAGCTAATAACCATCCATGACTCCAGTTCCAGGGGATCCAACACCCTCTTCTGACCTCCTTGGGCACTGCATGACACAGGTGCACTTAAACACATGCAGGTAATACACTCATACACATAAAAATATTTTTTTTAAATCAAAGCAAAGCAAATGTCAAGGGCTACTGGCTTAAAGAGCTAATCCAAAATAAATATGGGCACACCTGGGTACTCATTCACGGACATATGCAAGAACACACCCTATGCATACTCCTGAAGATGAACTCCCAAGTATTTACAGAAAAGAGAAACCCCACTTAAGCTACCTAGTCTAGGAACAGGTCTGCAGATTTGGGGAGCCTGGAGAGACTTAAGTCACCGAACACCATTTAAATATATTTGTCTGCTTACAATTTCCATTGCAAATGTGATTAGTTTGCTTGAATAAATAGGAATATGATGTGTTGGCCATGTTTTCCTCTTGAGGGTTATCACAGAGTTTTGATTAAGGACAAATGTTTGAAATGTTGGGTGTATTTAAGTTCACTGCACTTAAAATGAGCTAAGAAGTTGTATAGGCTTGATTAAAGGGCTGCCTTCGTGAACTTAAAATTAAAAGCAATAAATTCCAACGATTCAAGTGATTGGGACTGAACGTGGTATTCTGCCAGAAAAGTTGAAATGCAGTCCAGAAAGGCTGAAATGGTAAATGGTGTCCAGGTTTCAGGGACCGGTGAAAGAGGAAAGGTCAAGCAGTCGGAGCTGCGTTCCCTCTGGGTTCGTGAACGATTCACATTACACAGAATTCCTTTTAAGTAAAACTTCACAGGAGTGACAGGCTCCCAGAACAATCTGTTTTGTCATTTCCAAAAAGAAGACTCTCCGAAGCTCCGAAGCTGGTTTCTAAGTGTTGTCAGATGGAGAGAGGAGGGAAAGGATGTAAGACTGGGGAGGGGGAGGGTCCCCGACTGGCCCAGCACAGGCGCAGGCCCAGTCTCCCAAGCAGTTTCCAAAACGGAAGTCAAGGTGACTTCCCCACCGGCTGGAGGGAGGAACCCTGGAAACGTAATAGGATAAGGCTTCAGTCCAGGCTGGGGCCCCTAGGAAGGAGAAGTCCAGGACAAAAACAAGCAGGCTCCGAAGCCAGAGAGCTCCAAGGTGGCTGAGACCCCTGGGTGACCCTGAACTCTACCCATCCAGGGCCACCTGGCCCCGTCGGCGCGCTCTCCTCAGAGCCGCCTGAGCTCAGTCCCGCGGGACACCGATCCGTCCCGGCCAAGTGGGAGTGTCCGCTGGCAAAGTTTCTGCTGCACGATCGGGCCTTGGTCCCCACGCGGCTGCACATGCAGCCCCCGGCGCTCTCCCGCAGCTGCAAAGTGGAGCCCCGCATCCACTCTCCGGCTGCACCCCGCTGGGCACCAGCCGCCCCGGCCCGCCGCATCCAGGCTCGAGCCACGCTTACCTTGGCGGCCGCCATGCTTCGGCGGGTGCAGGCGGCTGCGGGACCCGCTGTCCGGCTGGCTCGTTCCAGGGACCCCGGCGGCTCACTTCCCGTCCCGGCAGCGGCGGGGGCGGCGATTCGGCCTTGCGGCGTGCGCGCCCGGCCTGCCTCCCCACGCCCTCCCTGCGCGGGTCATGCCGGAGCCGACAGCCCATTGGCTGGGCCGGGCCCAGGCATCCCGGGCGCTCGTGATCCGACGGCCTCTGCCCTGTGGCCCCGGGAGGGCCGGGGTCTAGGGGCTGCCGGAGAGACCTGGACACGTGACTCTGGCTACACTGTCCTACATACTCGGCCCCTGCGGTGAGGACCCTGGGGGCCATGGAGGAGTGCAAGCCAGGCTTCTGAGGACAGGTGGCCCAGCTGCTGCTGTTTATTCTGGGGCCAGAGGCTATTCCGGGGTCCTGAAAGATCTGAGTAAAGGTAGTGGGCAAACAGTCCCTGGAAGCTGAGAATGCCTGTTGAGTACATCTTGCCAGGATCTCCTTGTTTCTTTGCTTCCAAGGGGGCAATCATATAATGCTTCCAAAAAGACTTTAAACCAAAAGCATGGACTGATGAAAGGAGAGACAGTAAATAGTGCTAGCCTGCCATATATTTGTAGAACTATTCTGTTTCAAACCTGTATATTAGGACAAAAGAGGTCAAGCCTGTAAAGAGTTGTGAAAGTCCGTGAGAGCCTAAGGGCTAGTGAGAAGGCCAACATCGATGTTAACTTCCATGTAACCTGTTAAGGCGACAGTCTTAATGAGATTTATGAAGACTGGAGAAGCAACCATAGCCTAGTGGTTGTACGTCACTCAGGTGAGTGGAGAGCAAGGGAAGTCCCATCCAGCCAGAGTGAGGGGAGTGCACTGAATGTATTAGGAAATTAGGAATAAATTAAGATGGATATTAAGAGTGATTTTGAAATGAAACTAGAAACTAGGAACTTCTCGGCTTCTCAGTCTTGAGAGTCGAAACTAAGTAGCTTGAATGCCTGTGTGTGATAGATAAGTAATCCTGTGGGAGAAGCCATATCTCAAGAAACAGTTAAAGTTACTGACGTAAGTCAGAAGGACTCCAGCCAAAAAGAAACATACAAAAATTGACAGCTCGAGGACTTCATCGATGCTTGGCTACACGAGACGCTGACTCTGTGTGCCTCATCCCGAGGTATCGCCCCAGAGACCGAAATTCTGCCCAATGCCAGGCCGAAATTCTGTTGGATTGGAGAGAGCTGGCCACGACCAGACGTGATCAGAGCCTGCGAATTGACAGCTCCAGCCGGGAGAGTGCAGCGATCACGGCGGACGCTGAGTGACTCCACACCGAGTACTGGAAAGACTAACCTCTGGGAGGTATTCCCTTGAGACTTTGGGACTCTGAATTGTTAGAGGACCGGGTTTCCCCTTGAGTGTTTGTGTTGATTGTATTGTTATGCTTTAACTGTGTGATAAATACATATTGCAACCAATCAGTCGTGTGGAGAATCTCTTCTGTTCCTTATGCGCCTGTCTAAGCTCTCCCGAGAAGCAGTGACACACTCTGGAGGTCACACTCAGGACAGGGGAGGCAAGAGGTCCAGAATTGCTGGAGAACCCAATGATTGGGTCAGAGAAGGTAGGCTGTGAGATGGCTACAAGAAGGGTCTGGATGGCAGGAAGATGATGGAGAATCTTGGGCACCTTGCAGAAGGATGCACATTAACAGGGCTTTGAAGAACAGACACAGCATGACTAGGTTTTCAAGGCAGTCTTCACATTGCAGCTTGAATTTATCCTGATTCACACCTTACAAACTAAGTCACCAGTGCAACATATTCAGGTCATAAGGTTCTGCCCCAATGGATACATTAATACTCTTTTGAAAAGGGTTTTCAACACCTGTATTCCTAGCACTAGGAAGGTGGGTGCTGGTGCACTAAGTTCTAGCCTGGACTGTGTAAGGAGACCCTGTTGAAAAAGAAAGAGAAAAGAAACAGGCTTCTAGAAGTGAACTTGCTGTATGGGGACATAGCATCCCTCTCTCTTGAGGACACAGTACTCAGGGAGCTATCTTGGAAGCAGGGAAACTAGACCCTAACTCTGGAAACTTGAGGTTGGACTTTTCAACCACTAGAACTATTTCTAGTCCTTGTAAATTACCTAATCTCAGATATTGTGTGGTAGCTCCATCAGCCAGGCTGACATCTTGTGGAAGATGAGTCAAGACTAAACTACCAGAATATACAAACAAGACAGGCTGGAGTAGATAGGACTAACAGAGTACATTATATATATATATATATATATATATATAAAACAGTTGGCCTTAATGACTGATGATATGTAGGGATATGTGCGGGAGTCATCATATATTGCACACAGACCTGTGGTATGGCTGTCTGGAAAGATACCCAAGATCTGTAATACAGGAAGGGTTTGGAGAGATTTCTCTGTCTATAGGGAGTATATATATACAACAAGCAGGCTGTGTTAAAGAAGCATTCTTGGCCTTTCCAAGGGCTTGTGGTGTTTCTCCACTGTTAGAGCCAGTGAGCATAGCATCTTATCTTTGTCTAACTCTGCTTCCCTTGTGTGGCCTCTTTGCTGTCTATAACCTCTCCATCTCCCATTTTATAAGGACCCTTTCTGCTACACTCCTATAAATCTATCTCAGCACTTGGGCAGTAGAAATAGAAGGATGTTGAGTCCAAGGCCTGCCTGGGCTGCACAATGAGATCTTGCCTCAAACACAAAACCAAACAAAAAAATGCTTTCAGTTACGTTTGGCACTTAAGGCCCAACCATATAACCCAGGGTATCTCTCCCCCTCAGATCCTCAGTCACATTTGTGAAGTTTCTGCTGTATAAAGGCATGTTGATAGGCCCTATGACATGGTCATTTTTTGGAAGACTGTCATTCAACTGACCAAACACATCACACTGTGGATAGAGGTTGTGAAAGTGTTTCAGTACATCCGGAATCATGTTCAATTAGTTAAACTTCCCTCTTTGTTATATAATTCCTCCAAATATGAAATTTCTTCAAAGTTAAAATGACACAAGCCTTAAAATAACAAAGTCAAAGATGGTCATTGGATTGCACTTCACCTATAAACAATAAAATGATGAGACAGTATTTGAGCAGATAAAGTTTAAATTGGCAGGCACCTGCCATTCTGCCTTCTGCCATGTTGTTTTATCTACTAGGTTTAAGTGCCCTCCTCAGCAATAAAAATGACTAGTCTCATATTTGTCTACTCTATCCTGAGAACATTCTCCCCACCACCATCTAAAAGCAACTAGTATTGAATTTTGGTGAAAGAGGCCATATTACAAGTTGAAGTTCACCCTTAATGAAAATCCTAACCCCACTACCTCAGATTGAGACATTATTTGGAAAGTGAAGGTATAATTGGTTAAGATGAAGTCATAATGGAGTATGAAGTTCACTGAATCTGATATGCCTGACATGTTAGTGTTCTTTTTTGAGACAGGGTCTCAATATGTAGCTCTGGCTGTTCTGGAGCTTACTAGGCAGACAAGGCTGACATTGATCTCACAGAGATCTGCCTGCCCCCTGAGTGCTGGCATTAAAGGTGTATGCCACCATGCCCAGTGCCATGCCTGAAGTTCTTAGAAGACACAGAAACATACTATGTAAATATTATCTACAACAAAGGCACAGATTAGAGTGCAGTAGCTATAAGCCCAGGAACATGAAGGATCAACAGCCATCACCTTGCAAGGTTTCCTGGCCTAACCAAAAATAAGAAAGTGTTTTTTCCCCAGTCTGCAGAAAAGAATAGTCCCCTGACTCCCTGGTTTGGACTTCTATCCACCAGAAATGTGAAAGAATGAATTTCTGTTGTTCAAAGCCACCCAGTTTGTGGTATTTTGTTATGACAGCCTTCAGAAACGAATATAGGTCCCCAAATCACCTGTGTTATAGCACATTTTGCCAACCTTGCTGGCTGGGAAAGCAGCGAACCCAAACCATGGGGAAAGCCATAGACTCAAAGTAATGCTCAAAGTGTGAGCATTAGCCCAAGTTCAGAGGAGAGCACGACATGGCCATCTCTGAGCTTTCACCGCTCCCAGAACACCTACCTATGCCTTGTAAATGCCCTTTGACCATGCCCTTACTCTGCTCCATTAATAACAAACAAGCAAACAAAGGACATCGCTACCATTGCCAGCATGCAGGTGGATGGGATAGCTAGACAGGAAATCCAGTCAGAAAGCAGGCAGTGCATCCGTTACAGGAAGTTTTAGGCAGGTAACTGAAAACTGCAAGATGGATTGCATTTGCGACAGAATAAAACAAGTACCATGTTAGTGAGACGCTCCCAGATGCTTATAATGGGCTGGGCCATTCCGGGACACAGAGACACTCATTACACAAGCCTTCCCTAAGAGTGAGCTAAGATAGGTCAAAAATATCCTACTTTTAACAGACACAAATGTGTCAACATTTTTAGAGTTAGGAAGGAAGGGGAGGGAAGAAGTGAGTCAGGAAAAGGAAGCAGGAGACACCTTGGGAAAGTGTGATGGAAAACAAATACCCAAATTCTGTGATATTATGCTCTGTGAACAAGACTTTCAACTGCGTGTTTCTGAAAACAGAGCAGGCTGCTTTCTGGAGATCCTTGAAGAGAATCAGTTTCCTTGCCAAAACTTCTAGAGTCCACCCACACCCCTTGGCTCGTGGTCCTCCTCTGTCTTCAAAGCCAGCAGCAGAGGGTCCAATTCCAGGTGACATCACTCTGATCTCAACTTTGGCTTCTCTCTTATTTTATGACATTTATGTTTGAATTAGGATCCCCCAGATAATCCAAACTAGCCTCCCAGTGAAAAGTCAGTGACTATTACATCAGTCTGATAGAGCTTCCATAAGAAAAGACCAGAGATTTGGTGCATTTAAACATCAAAAATTTATTTTCCTGGAATTCTGAAATCAATGCTGTTGGCAGAGTTGATTCCTCCTGAGGACTCACCCCTTGATTACAGAGAGTCATCTTCTCCTTGTGTCTTCCTTCTGTATCTGTATCCTGTTTCTTTATGTAATGGCACTAGTTGTATTTGATTAGGGTCCACTCATATGAATTCATTTACATTAATGGCAATTTTTAAAGACCATGTCTCCAGATACAGTCTCCTGAGGTACAAGG